GCCCAATTTAAACTGGACATGGATGGGAAAGTCATCCAGGCAGGAAATTCGACAACAAATCCACAAACGAGGAACGTGATGCATTGTTACGTACTCTTTTGGAGAGCGCCGAAACCGCTGATCAAATTGGCGATCAGGATGAGATGGATGACGACGACGTTAATGATATCATGGCCCGATCCGAGGAAGAAATACTCCTGTTCCAGAAAATTGATCAGGAACGCTCCAAAAACGACCTTTATGGTCCTGGACGCAAATATCCCCGTCTGATGGCTGAGGAGGAATTGCCTGATATCTATCTGGCGGAAGATAACCCGGCCCCTGAAGAGGTGGAAGAATTTGCTGGCCGTGGTGCACGTGAAAGGAAGGTCATGAAATATGATGATGGGCTAACAGAAGAACAATGGCTCATGGCCGTGGATGCGGATGATGACACTATCGAAGATGCGATTGCCAGAAACGAAGCCAAGTTGGACCGAAGACGGCAAAACAAAGAGAAACGGGCGAAGAAAGCCCAAGGCGTCACCGACTCATCCCCAGAACCATCCAGGGAAAATTCGGAAGCTCCCCAGCAGCCGAAGAAGCGTCGAAAGGGTCCCGTACCGAAGCGAAAAGCGGAGGAAGTTATCGACGAAACCCCCGTTAAACGAAAGAAGGGTCGACTCAGTAAAGCCGCCATGGCCGCAGCGGACACCCTGGCTCCATCCGAACGCGCAGTCCTCCAGAAGATTCTCAACAATGTCTACCAGAGCCTCATGGAGCTCGAACAAGAGATCCCTGTCGATTCATCAGATAGTGAAGATGAACCCATAACCAGATCCATCATCGAGCCCTTCATGAAGCCGCCTCCCAAAAGTCATTACCCCGATTACTACATGGTCATCCAAACGCCTATAGCGATGGATATGATTCGGAAGAAGATTAATCGGGAGGAGTATCGCAGTTTGAAGGAGTTTCGGGAAGATATCCGGCTGCTGTGCAATAATGCACGCACATATAATGAAGATGGCAGCGTTCTTTTCCAGGATGCTAATGATATTGAGGTAAGTCGTTTGCTGATCATGATAATGCTTACCATTATGTTTTGAAGCGTCTTGTTGACTTCTATTTTTCTTCTATTAAATTAGGCCCTATGCGTCTCCGAACTCAAGAAGGAAACCGAGAATCGTCCCGAATTCGCTGATTTCGAGGAAACGGCTGCGTCTTCCGCTGCGGTATCTAGTGTCGGGACCCCGCTTGCTTCTGCTGTGTTAACATCAACACCTGGTGGACAACAGCAGCAGCAACACCATCAGAAACTCAAGCTGACATTCAGTGGCTCCAAAGATGGTAATAATAATAATGACAGCGGCGGGCCGTTAACAAATGGGACAAATAGTGGGGTTGTAAGTGATAATGAATAAAGCAGAGTAATGAAAAAAGACAATGAAAAAGGGAATAAAAAAGTTTGAAGAACAAAAAAGAAGAGAAGGAAAAGGAGGGGTGAAGGGGGTGAGGGAGAGTGAGAGAGAGAGAGGCAGCAATAATGAAATGAACTGCTAATTTCCTCCTTATTTTTGGTCTTCCTCCTTTTTCTTTTATGGGTTGTGTTTTTATATTGGGTTATTTCCCCCTCTTCTTCTTTTCTTTTTATTCATCCCTTGTGTGTGTGTGTGTGTGTGTCCATTGCGCCTTTGTTTATTGCGGTTCGAAATCTGGCGAGGAAAAATTGCGTGGCATACATTCATAGATTTCTCTTTTTTTTATTTTTTTTTTTTTTTGATTTTTTAGAGCCTCTGGGATTCCTATTGAAACTAGTTTTATGGTTAATTTAAGAAATCTGTCCCATTATCTTAAAAATTGTTTTTCACTTCCCTTTG